CAGTAACACTCATTTCATAGCATGGATATAAGAAAACATCAACTAACAAACAAACAAGAAAACATCAACTAACAAACAAGAAAACATAAACAAACAACCAAGCAAGAAAACGTCAACAAACAATCAATAAAACATCAACTAACAAACAAACACGAAAACATCAACAAAACAAACAAGAAAACATCAACTAACAAACCAACATGAAAACATCATTTAACAAACAAAAAATAAAATATCAATTAACAAACAAATAATAAAACATCAACTAACAAACAAACAATAAAACATCAACTAACAAACAAACAATAAAACATCAACTAACAACAAACAATAAAACATCAACTAACAACAAACAATAAAACATCAACTAACAAACAAACAATAAAACATCAACTAACAAACAAACACTAAAACATTAACTAACAAACGAACAATAAAACATCAACTAACAAACAAACACTAAAACATCATTTAACAAAAAAAAAAAAAAAAAACATCAACTAACAAAGAAACAACAAAACATCAAATAACAAACAATCAAGAAAAAATCAACTAATAAACAAACAATAAAACATCAACTAATAAACAAACAATAAAACATCAAGTAACAAACAATCCAGAAAACATCAACTAACAAACAAACAAGAAAACATCAACTAAGAAACAATCAACAAACATTAACTAACAAACAAACAGTAAAACATCAACTAATAAACAAACAATAAAACATCATCTAGCAAACAATCAAGAAAACATCAACTAACAAACAAACAATAAAACATCAACAAACAAACAAACAATAAAACATCAACAAACAAACAAACAATAAAACATCAACTAACAAACAAACACTAAAACATCATTTAACAAAAAAAAAAAAAAAAAAACATCAACTAACAAAGAAACAACAAAACATCAAATAACAAACAATCAAGAAAACATCAACTAATAAACAAACAATAAAACATCAACTAATAAACAAACAATAAAACATCAAGTAACAAACAATCCAGAAAACATCAACTAACAAACAAACAAGAAAACATCAACTAAGAAACAATCAACAAACATTAACTAACAAACAAACAGTAAAACATCAACTAATAAACGAACAATAAAACATCATCTAGCAAACAATCAAGAAAACATCAACTAACAAACAAACAATAAAACATCAACAAACAAACAAACAATAAAACATCAACAAACAAACAAACAATAAAACATCAACAAACAATTAAGAAAACTTCAACTAATAAACAAACAATAAAAATTTACCTAACAAACAATCAAGAAAACATCAATTAACAAACAAACAAGAAAACATCAACTAATAAGCAATCAAGAAAACATCAATTAACAAACAAACAATAAAACATCATCTAATAAACAAACAATAAAACATCATCTAACAAACAATCAAGAAAACATAAACTAGCAAACAAACAATAAAACATCAACTAACAAACAAACAATAAAACATCAAATAAAAAACAAACAATAAAACATCCACTAACAAACCAACAATAAAACATCAGCTAACAAACAAACAATAAAACATCAACTAACAAACATTCAAGAAAACATCCACTAAAAAACAAACAAGAAAACATCAACTAACAAAGAAACAAACAAAAAAATATCAACCAATAAACAATAAAGAAAACATCAACTAACAAACAAACAATAAAACATCAACAAACAATAAAACATCATCTAACAAACAATCAAGAAAACATCAACTAGCAAACAAACAATAAAACATCAACTAACAAACAAACAATAAAACATCAACTAACAAACAAACAATAAAACATCATCTAACAAACAAACAATAAAACATCTACTAATGAACAAACAATAAAACATTAACTAACAAACAATCAAGAAAATATCAACTAATAAACAAACAATAAAATATCAACTAACAAACAATCAAGAAAACATCAACTAACAAACAAACAAGAAAACATGAACTAACAAACAAACAATAAATCATCAACTAACAAACAATAAAACATCTACTAACAAACAAACAAGAATATATCAACTAATAAACAATCAAGAAAACATCAACTAACAAACAAACAATAAATCATCAACTAACAAACAAACAATAAAACATCTACTAACAAACAAACAATAAAACATCAACTAACAAACAAACAATAAAACATCAACTAACAAACAAACAATAAAACATCAACTAACAAACAAACAATAAATCATCAACTAACAAACAAACAATATAACCTCAACTAACAAACAACAAACAATAAAACATCAACTAACAAACAAACAATAAAACATCAACTAACAAACAAACAATAAATCATCAACTAACAAACAAACAATAAATCATCAACTAACGAACAAACAATAAAACATCAACTAACAAACAAACAATAAAACATCTACTAACAAACAAACAAGAATATATCAACTAACAAACAAACAATAAAACATCAACTAACAAACAAACAATAAAACATCAACTAACAAACAAACAATAAAACATCCACTAACAAACCAACAATAAAACATCAGCTAACAAACAAACAATAAAACATCAACTAACAAACAAACAAGAATATATCAACTAATAAACAATCAAGAAAACATCAACTAATAAACAAACAATAAAACATCAACTAACAAACAAACAAGAATATATCAACTAATAAACAATCAAGAAAACATCAACTAATAAACAAACAATAAAACATCAACTAATAAACAAACAATAAAACATCAACTAACAAACAAACAAGAATATATCAACTAATAAACAATCAAGAAAACATCAACTAATAAACAAACAATAAAACATCAACTCAGGCCTCTGTGCTGACCTAGATGTTTATTTTTAGTTTTCGTGTGAGAGAGGCAGACAAATACAGACTGGCACAATATGAATAACAACAACCCAAGACAATCAACGTGGAAAGTCATATAAAGTCACTACAGTTCCATACTTTAGCACGGCAGTTCTCAAACTGGGCGCCGCGGCACCCATAAGTGCCACAAGGATATGCCAGGGGTACCACGACAATAAAGAAGAATTTTTCCAAATCTGCTTGGGATCAGCGAAGACAGCAGTTTAAAACAGAAATATCATGAAGGAAGCCAAGAAGAGTTCTGGATGCAGGTGTATTCAGAAAACAATACTATTGACAAGACTGCAGGGCATTTTCAACGTACGCTTAAAAAAAAAAAAAAAACTGAAGCAAACTATCTGGGTCAAGTGATTTGAGGGTTACATTAACTAAACTTCCCATAAACAAAAAGGAAAATAAAAAATTCCTC